AACAGTAAATAAAAGGTATTTTATATTATTTCTACGGAAAAGGTTTGATATAGACCATCGTAGTAAAACCGGCGTGATTTAAATCACGATTTAAATCATTATTTAATTTTGATCTTGATTCTTATTTTCTATCCTTCTGTGAACCTTTGAAAGCGGTGGTGGCGTCGGATGAGCTCCGTGACGTCATCAGCGTGACGTGCACCATCGATGATACATTCCACGGATACGAAAGCGCTAAGAGCTGTCCCTATAAGTGCTATGTATTTAAAATGACGGAGGGCATAAATATCATACTGTGGGGGTATTAATAAAGTAGGAGAGAAAGCAGGATGAGGTAGAAGGATAAAAATGGGGGGGAAGGCCCACGTCAAGTGGAGACAGAGGTTTGGTCGTAGCCCTAGAGTTGTGCGAAGAGAAGTCTGTGCGGTACAACAAGTCGTTCTTTGCCAGTCGTTGAAAGTTCTCGGTTGTTGTGGTGCCCAACCCAGCTATTCCTTTCATATGTTAGACTTGGGAGTCTGCACGGCTCGCGTTAATATCGCTTTATGCGTATGAGGAGTTGCCGCTTGCGAAGTTACTTGGGGTTGCTGTAGAAGGGGTGTCGGGAATAACTGAAACTGCGGATAGTGTATTTAGGAATCCGGCTTCTTCTTTAGGAATCACGTGTGTCTGATCGAGGTAGTCCAGCCTCCAAAGCAGATATTCAGAACTGACGAAACGGGAAGCGTTAGTGCGTAATAATAGAAACTTTGAGCAAACCGTTACCGTGCTCCGTGTACCGCACTATTGGAGCCTTTGAAGCATAATTTTAAGCACGCGCACGCCCCGAGGTCACGGTATCACTCGGGGTATCGCTCCAGTAGTAAGGTACGCGGAACACGGTAACTTGCTGAAAGTCCCGAATGAAGCAAAAACCAAGCGGTACATACAATTTAGAGCGCAGCTCTTAACGCCCGTTTCCGGCTTGAGCGGCGTCGCCGTCGCCGGCAGCGTAACCGCGCGGTGCATTATGGGTAAATTTCCCCGCTAAATTTAGCGAAATTTCCCCTCTAAATCTAGCGGGAAAATTTCCCCGCTAAATCTAGCGAAAAAATTTATCTGGGGGGTCACGTGACACCCCCCAGGTCATGTGAACCCCCCTATGAGGTCACGTGACCCCTTCCCCCCTCAGTACCCTTCCCTCCTCATCCTCAAGAGCTGCGCTCTAATTCGGCGTTACGGGGAGCAATAAACGGCTTTCACTTTTTTTTTCCGGTTTTACCAATTGGTAAAAAGAAGAAAAAGCAAAAAAAAAAGCCGTAAAAGTTTTAGTAATGCAGTCTGTGCAGATAAGTTACGCGGCCATGGAGACAACACGGGGCGAATCGTAACGATAAGTCTGTATTATTTAACTAAAATTTGCTAATTATATTTTAATTAGTGAAGATAAACATATACGGTATCCATTAGAAGCTTGTTGAGGGTCATCGTACACGTACACTCTAACTCTAGTACACGTCTCAATCAGTGTGATGCCTTGGAGTTGCGACGCCGTGATGCGTTGAAGTCACACACGTCGTGCAACAAACGCGAGGCTGGCGATGCGAGAAGGCACCCGCGCTGTTTTTCCGTCTCCCATCACTCGCGTTTTCGCTTCGCCTGTTTTGCGCCTGGTGCGCGAGTGGCAACTTTAGCGCACCACCGCGCTCTTCGTGCGCTCCAAATCTCCACAGAAATGACGGATTTAGTGGTTTTTGACAAAGCTATGAGCAAGTATATAATTGGAAGTATGTATTTATTTCCATTAATTAAAAAGTGAGTTAACAATTTTAGTTAATTATAATACTGATCGTGGCGATCAGCTCCCTGTATTGTGTCCCCCTGACAGTTTAACCGCATTACCGGGTGATTCAAGGAGCGGCCAAGCTCTTTAAATCGACCAGAAAATTCGGTTTCTTAACCTATCGCGCCCATGACTTTCTGCAGCGTTGTTCACAGATGGTGCATTTTTTCTGTAAAATTCGCAAAGAGCGAGCTTACCTGAGGAAAAAGTAAAAAAATTAAAAGGCTTAACTGCCATGGAAACGCAGCGAAGCCACCGGTCTTCAAACCATAGGACGCCCTATTGTATGAAGACCGGTGGCTTCGCAGAGATCCCTCTTTTATTTAAAGGCGTTTCTCGTCAAGATAACTTCATTTGACTACATGATATTGTGCTTGCTGAATATGTATTTGTGTAAGCTTTCATTTGATATATAATCTATGTGATAAAATTGAGTTACAAAAGTTATCATCATTCACACCTGGCAAGTTATCGTCAAAAGGTCCAGGTTAAGGATTTTTCACAAGTACTAATAAACGCAAAAAATTATTTTTATTAACCTATTGCGCTTTTATAATTAGTTTAAAGAGCCTTTGGTCCTTTAGAAATCAAAAACTAGAAACTAAAAATATGACGCAAAAACGGTTGTCGGTTTTGTCCTAGTGAAGAATTTGCCCAGCATTTATATATTTGTTTTTCCAAACGTCTTTAAAACATGCTTTTTTTTTTTTTTTTTTTTTTCTTTACGATTTCAGACGAAATCGCCCACATAAAACATGAATCAGGTTAGTCCAGCAGCTTGAACATATTTATGTACCCTAAAAATAATTTAAAAAAAAATTACGAGGACATCTAAGCTGTTCTTATGAGTTGTGAATGCGAGAGCATGAATGTCTTTCATCCGCTCCCTTAGTTTGTCTGTGGCGTACTGGCGTGGACGGCCACGTTTCGGTACTGCCGAGGTTACGGCCGCGGACGATATTGATGCCTCAGGCGCCGCCATGGTCCTCGGCGCCGAAAGGAGGAGAAGTGGCCGCACTCCCCCCTTCCCCCTTCCCCCCCCCCCCCCCCCCCCCCCCACCCCCCACCCCACGAGAGCAGCGGCCGCAAATGGCTATTTAGGAGACGCTTTGACGGCACTGAGGTCAAACACTGATGATTGGTCCTGATGCGACGCACGGCAAAGGACGTAATCACACCCGTTTGATGACAAACTGCAGGGTGTATTGAAGGGTGTATTGTAAAAATGTTGGGCAAATATGTTTGCCGTAGAATCGCAATTTGCTGGAAACTGATATAGGAAGAAATACCTATGGTTACCACAGGTATTTTTCTCTATCCACTGCCTGTGGTTCGCACACAAGATTAGAGTAGATGTTATAAATTCCGCCTAAATAAAAAAAAAAAAAAGTTAGTTTATTTTGAAAGTGCTTTTCTCCTAAGCACGTGGCTGAAATATTTGTACTTTTCAAAGTTTTGATCGCGGTAGCCCACGTAGCATCCAATGTCATGCGAACATTCCCTGGGTGTTCTGAATGTTGAAGGAACGTTAAAACACCATTCGGAACGTTCTAGGAACGTTCGTATGCGAACATTCCTTACAAGGTAAGCTGCTCAACATTCTAGAAACGTTTGTTGGCGAACATTCGTATGCACAATGTTCTCGGAACGTTCCCCTTTGAACATTCATATGTGCAACATTCTTGGAACGTTCGCTTGCGAACATTCCTAGAATTTTCGCAGGTGAAGCCAACTTTACGGAGCTTTCAAGCAACCTGTGTTTCGAAACACCATCCACTATATGCCACCTTGTGCCAAAAATATGCAAAGTAAGTGGAGGTTTTGGAAACTTAGCATAAGGGATCAGTTTCATCTTATACGAGTCTACTGAGGAATGTGAGATAAGGTGTAGGAGAAAAGCAATGGACTTCAAAATTTGATAATGAGCTTGGCACTCACTGCGCATGTAGAGGGGCAGTTTTGAATAGACCCGATTTCTAGCATCTCGGATTCAATACCTTGAAGAAGGTATATCCTGCTTGAGTGTGGGATGTTATGCTCGGAGTGAGTAATCGGTTATGTATGCAGCATGTTTAGATAAGTAGGAGTAAGTTGCCGTTGTAGTACAGGCTCTGGCTAATGCGCTGGAAAAGCGGCTAGATTGTGTAGGCCTGGAAAAAATCTTTTTCGATTAAAAAATATCGATCGCACTGTGAGGAGATTTATTATATCAATATATGTAGTACGGCTCAGGGGCGGTAAGCTAAGCAAGCCATAATTGTGGAATCTTTGTAAAAATTCCTCAGAGAATGTTGCAGATGTTTTTTTGAATGTTTTGGGAACAGTCGTAAAGCCTTGTTAGAATGGTGAATAAATGTTCTGTCGTGCTCACAACGTTTTAAAAATATCCCCTAGAAAACATTCCCCGAATGTAGCGATAAGTGCCTGCGCCACATTCTGACAACGTCGATAGAATGTTCTTACGTAAATTTGCAACATTCAGAGAATGTTGCAGAAGTTCTTTGGATGTACTGAGAACGTTGTTAGGATGTTTCAATGTTGGTTGAATGACCTGGTAATGTTCTATGTCGTTCTCAGAACGTTCTAAGAATATCCCTTTGAAGACATTCCCCGAATGTAGCGATAAGTGCCTGCGCCACATTCTGACAACGTTGATAGAATGTTCTTACGTAAATCTTCAACATTCCAAGAATGTTGTCTATGTTATTTTGAACATTCCCGGAATGTTCTCAGAACGTTCTCGTGCTACGTGGGAGGTTAGCCCCTGTTAAAACTGCTTTTTGGGCGCGTTGGTCGTTACTGGTGTGATGTAACAGCGCAGCCATTACGTTGAATTCATATTTTCCGAAAGGTTGATTGTGGCGGGTTAGCCCCGTTGAGCGTGCATCTTACAGAGCACTAGCACGCTGCAGAGAAGCAACATCCGCGACACTCCCTTCTGCGAGTGTGGCTTCTCCGTAGTTCACCGAAGCTCGATAAGAAGCGCACTCAATGCGGCTAACCGGCCGTGTTAAGAAAATGCGTGGAAATACTTTACTGAGGAACAATTGAGTAAACTTGGGAGCGAGGGATATCGCCTAGGGTGGGGCATTGGAGTAGCCCTAATTTCCTAGGAACTTAGTTTGTGAGCCCATGTTGTAGCATACTGACTCAAGCTCATTCTTTCCTTGGTGGGCAGGTCTGTACAACCGGTGTGTGAAGCTCCACCAGATCGACGAGCTTTTCACGGACAACTGCGCGCCGTTCGTGAGCTCGCTGTCTATGCCGTCGGATGAGTTCCCGAGTCCCTGGAAGGCGGGGCTGGCCTTCTTCGCCGGAGGGCTGGCCCTGATGGCGGCCACCGTGCTGTCCTCCGTGCTCGGCTGCTGTGTGCGAAGTGTCCTCAAGAAAAGCATATTTACGGTCTCCGGCACCGTGCAAGCTATCGCAGGTCGGTATGCCCTGAAAGCTGGTTCACACATTTGCATTTGAGTGTGGCCAAGTGCGCTGTGCTCGCTTACAATGAGAGAGCACACTGGCGCCATCTATCAATAGCCCTGGAACTCTTCTGTATGTATTTATACTCTGTTGCAGGTTAAAAAAATAGCAGGACATCCTCCTCCCGCAATGTCCTCCACTCTTTCCATTTTAGCCGAGCGAATACTGGAGAAGAGGCAAGTCCACTTGCCTCTTCTCCTGCTTTCCTTCTGCTAAAGCAGATGTTCTCAAATGGGGTTTTGCGGACCCGCTCGGGTTTGCAAAGACATTTCTTACTTCCGCAAGACCCCCACCTCAACCTCTTAAAAAAAAAGAAAAAAAGAAGTATCTTTTTGTAGATTTTGGCTAGGTGGCGCAAGCTACCAAAACCATATATGTTTTGGCACTAAAATGGCCGATTGAAGCTAAATTAGAACATTAAGAGTGAATCATAGGCGCCACATACAAAAAGGAAGGGAAGGGGGGGGGGGGCTCAAAGGATCGAGTCCTTTCCCCCCCCCCCCCCTCTTTCCGAGCTCTTCGGAAAAGCAAGTACCATCGCATCCAGAACCTCGCACTTACCAATAGCTGGCACCCAGTGGGTAAATAAAAACTTATCTGTGCTCCCTGGTGCCCGCACATATCGATAGCTGGCGCCCAGTGGATAAAGATTTATCCACTCACCAGTTCTGGTCACTAAACGTTGGTGAGTGGATAAAGTTCTTTTAACTATTCATGCAGTCCTGTTCGAAAACCCTACATATTATTAGCAAATACGATAAAGATTAGTGCTGGAAATTCTTTCGAAAGCCATTGAAAGTAGTTGCGAATGACGACAGCGACACCTCTAGCGGACCTGCAGCCTATGGAAGTAGACGACATCATACGTTTTGTAAGCTCCATTTTGTTTTCCCAAACATTGAAACAATTCATTACGGTCAGTGCGCTTGAAATACGGAATTCACTAATTACAATTGCAATGACAGCTAAATTATAGGGTCACAAAAATAGACATTTGTTTAGGTATCACGCAGTCAGCATGCTTATCCTACGTTATCCAGGGGATTACACATATTTGGGACGCCTCTTTCAAGAGACGTCCCAAACGTGTAAGGGGGGGAGGGGGGGGGGGGGGGGGTCCCGACCTTCTTTCGGGAGATTGAGAACTTCCCGCACATGCAGTGGACGCTGTCGAATGCAGTACTCCCGAACCAATACAAGCAGCCGTGCAGTTTCCCAAGTGGCCACTGCGGGAGAAATGGCGGCGTTGCGATCGCCATTATATCGGTTCTCGAGTATGGATCGGTGCATTCTAGTAGCGTTGGCTCAACCACAGTAAATAGTGCCATCTGTTGGCCAGGTAATCTTTCGAACAGTAGTAAAAAGAGTAATACAAGAAGCGAGAAATAATACGCCTTAAGACCCGTTCACACTCTTGCAACCGAGTACGACCGAGAGAGACGAGACCTATTGAAACCTCTTAAAATTTCTTAGGACGAGAGAGCACACTGGTACTCTGGCGCCGTCTATGCGGTGACCCTGGAACTGCATTTCACAAGAGCGAAGGTTTTGCGGGATTTCCGACGTCAAATGCACGTAATACCTATAAGAAAGGCTCATTCATAACTTGACACAAGTTTTTCGAGCCAAGAAATAAAGGATAATGAGCGAGAGAAATAGAAAATATGCCGAACCACCAAGTTTGCACTGCTACCCAATAGATGGCGCCACTGTGTCCTCTCGTACTAAGAGATATTAAGAGGTTCCAAGGCACCTTGTTCTAAGAGGTCGCAAGAGTGTGAACTGGACTTTATTGCAAATTAATAGAGTGGATCACGTGACGAGTGTTTTCAGTACTGTATCATATGGACCAAAGCAAAGTTTCTTTTTCTTTTTTTCTGGTATTTGAGAGTGTGTTGGCTAGTAAGTATAAATGAAGCTAGTAGCATAAGATGTTACTTTCTTTGGCAGCTTTTAAACATTTATTGTAAAATTTGTGAAGTTTCAATTTATTGTAAAACATCGAGCATCGGCCCAACCCCTCAATTTTGTAACATTTGGAAAATGCACAAAGGACATATCTTTCCATATTGTTGACCCAAGAAGTGCCCATCCTCCAGTTTTACAGATTGCCTTCAAATTTTGTGTGGGCGCTTGCTCGGGATTTCACGGTAGTCTAATTATTTTTGTTGCCTCATTTTTGTTTAATTCAATGCTATAGTTGTTTTGAAAAGAAGGAGCATTTATTAATGTTGTCAATATGAAATGTAAGCCCTTTTAAATTTATTTTTTGGTAGTATAACATCAGGTATAAATATATTAGTCACATTAGCTGAGCGGTTTTCAATCATTGATGTTTCGGGGGCCCCCTCTGGATCAGTGAAAGTGATGGGGGACCTCATCCTCTGGGGGACGGCAGTAGGCAGTATTGGACGATTACAATGACGAGAGTAAATTGAGAAAACTAAATGCGTGCAATCATACTTTGAAACTCTGAAATGGAGAATAATCGACCCTGCTCACTTGGTGCACTCAGTTTAGGCTTTGTGGGATAGCCAGCATCGATAAAAAATCATGAGCCATTCCACTCTGTGAAGATGAATGAACAGCGAAGCTGTTTAGTACACAGACCCGCCCCGAGGAGCCGCAGGAAAGTAGACACGCGCAACAGGACTGCCTCCCCGGAAAGCGGGATGGAAAGGAAACTAGGCACGGAAGCGCTTGGAACAACGACAAAGCGAGGGCGGTGTGAGCGTAGACATGGCAGACGCATGTCGCACATCAACAGATCTTTGAGAAACCTTGATTATATATACCTGAGAGTCTACTGATCTTGAGAATTGTGCCTATTGATAACAAATCTACTGAATATACTTGTTGCTAAATTACCCAAGCATCAAGGAGAATGCAGAGAATGGTGTTCCATGCGCTGCACGTGCCGGCATCTCCAGTAGTAACTGTTCTAAACCAAAAACATAAAACAAATGGCATCTTGCATGCCCGTTCGTCAACGCTTTATTTTTGTTATTTACTTAGAATCTTTTATACGGGGAAGGCGTACGCGTACGGCGGTGGGAGCGTAGTTTTTAGCACACAAAAAGTCCACGGAACACTAGCCATAAACAACTTCGCTTTAAAAAAAAAAAAAATGTTCTATTGCTTGGGTTGTTTGATTGTCGAGAGCTTCAGGAACCCTAAGAAGGCCTTCAGGGACCTTAAGAAGGCCTAAATGGTTCGTGGACTCCCTTTGAGAACCACTGCTCCTCGGAAGTCCTCACTATGCGTGTCCTACCCATAGCGGTGCTAACAACAATAAAACAAATTGCTACAAAAAATATTGATCTATTTTAAGCGCAGCGGATATTACGAGCCATCGGAGCCGATCCAGGGCCGTGTAAATGCCGCATGACCTTAGAGAGAGGGGGCACAGCGACATGCGGAAAGCGTATCACGGGCTACGTCATCAGAACGGGATTGGTTAGGATAGCTTGTAGCGTCCACTGTGTCCGGACGTAAGGTGAAGCGGAGGCAGATTCTTCTTTTATATAGGAAAGGCTAGTGACGGCACTCCCCATGTCGCAAGCTGCCGTCGCCTCAGCAGCTTGCGCAACAGTAATCTTTACCGGGAAACGTATGTGTTGAGCACACGGGCTTCCCGTTATTATCAGGAGTGCCTTATCATCAATTATGTGGTTCGGATGCTCGCTTTGTGCTTTGTCTTTATTGAAATGAATGCTGTGCTGTATGTTGCATAGATGATGTATTCACTTTTCACTTCAATCTCTGAAGTTTTATTTTTCCGTGAGAACTCCTACACGAAAAAGTCCGATCAACGAGCCATATACAGGTTCGCTGTAAAAGTATGATGCACACTGGAATAACAGAGTTAGTACAAACATGATTTTGACCAAACAGTGCTGATTCAGAATATTAGAATATATGGTTCTAGCTGAAAGTTAGCACACATAGTGCTTTCCAGTTCCCCCTATGTCCTCGTCTTCGAGCACTACCTTGTATTCTAAAATTACTTTGGCGCTTTTTTTTTTTGTATTTTTTTCAGCCCTGCATTGATGAGCACCAATATTTTCCACCTAAGTTCTTGCCCACAACAAGCACATTCTGCCGCACAGGTCGTTTTGGCAAAACTCTCTCAATTCTAAATTAAAAATTGAAAAAAAAAAGCAACGATAGTTTTTTTTGTGCTGCTCCTGTCAGGTTTGTGCATCTTGCTATTGTAGACCTGGCCCTGGCAGAAACCCAGTTTCTGGTGTGAAATATGATCTAGTCTTTGTTATTTATTGCTAGTGGTGAAGGGCTGAATGTATAAGATTTTAAACCTCGTTCAGAGTACTTACATTATCTTTCGTATACTCCGTCCCATATTAAAAAGTAGCACAAGCCATATATTTCTTTATTTTCTTGATGTGCAACCAACATTAGCATTACATTTCTGACCCACTGGATTCTGCATCATGCAAGTGTGTGACTTCTAATCAGCTGCAATTAAAAATTTAAGTGACATGAAAAAAACAAAAGCATTGTCGGTTCTTTGACATGTTTTGCCAATGAACTTAGGCAACAGCCAAGGCATTTCATGATTTGCTGCACACAGACAATGCACAATAATTATCCACCACCTTTCGAATTTTGGCAAAGGAGGAGAGATTAAATTGTCATGTGACCTCACAATTTTCCCACAAAATTTAGCGGAGAAATTTTTCTTGCGTGTAAATGGTTCACGTGACGTCACAGTGTTACGTGACACTGTAAATTTTTGCTCAATTTACCGGGCCACACCATACAATGACACCGGCATCCAGTGCAAAACTTCGCCACACCGTAAAACATAGATTCAGCCCCTGCATCTTCTTGTCAAAGATGCCAACCTCAATTAACTTCTTAACTTGCAGGGCTCATGTTCCTCCTGGGCCTGCTGCTGTACCCAGCTGGCTGGGGCAGCCGTCGGGTTCACACTGTCTGCGGACCCCATTCGGAGCCCTTCATGCTGGGAGGCTGCTCCCTAGGTGATGCGGGTTGTTTTGCCTTCTTGAACATGAAGCTCATATGCGGTATCGCTCAGAATGCACGTTTTTGTGTGAATACCCACACTTGTTTCTTCAGAGAGGACTCTACCCAAAAGGGTCAATTTTTGAACCTTTGGATTAAGAATGAAATTTGCAATATGTACTAGTTGCAATGCAGAATACAGTGCAAAGTTTCATTTGTGAACATGAATTGTGGAATAAAGTATAGTCAATTTTATCAAGAACATGCTGACATTGCTTAGGAAAACTATCGTTGGAAATCTAATGTAATACCCAACATTTTTCTTCACTAGATACGCAGCAGAGTGTTTGGAGAGTGCAACTGTACAAACAAAACTTCCAAAAAGTAATTTAATTTATGGTAACATCGTGCTGAAAAATCAAATAAATGTTTTGGCTTTCATGTTGCTGACAATATCTTACCATATTTTATAAAAAACATTTTCAAGTTAAAACAAAAAAAAAATTATACTGTTGCATTGCACATCAAATAGACTTAGGAAAAACAATGAGTGAGCCTTTCCTTTTCTCCTTTTACCAACGATAGTTTTCCTAAGTTTAATTTATGCCAAAAAGTTGAATGGAGAGAAACGCATTCAGAGTGCTCGAGCCTCTGTCTTTTCTTTAGCATGGGTGGACCAAAAGTAAGTTATAAACAAATAACTTTGCAGCGTATGCAAATGAAACGTTCCGGGAATTACTGTCTAGATCTTAGTGGATGTAAATATAGCATTTTATAAAATTGCATAGTACCTTCAGCGCATAGTAGTGCGCTCAAGGTACTGCTCATGCAACAGGTACAAGGCTAGGGCTATGATAAGAGACGGAAAAATCGCATGGGTGCGTTATCGCACCGGTGGCCTTGCTCCTGCTGCACAAGTGGTAAATTTAGTGCACTACTGCACTTCTCACATGCTCAAAGTTTTTCTAAAAATTACTGATTTAGCAGTTTTCGATGACACTCAGCAAGTTTCTAATTGGAACCATATTTATGTTTTCACTAATTAAAAAAAAAAAAAAAAATTTTGCTTAATTAGCTGACTGATCGTTACAATTAGCCCTCTATACTATGTTCCCCAGTTCGTATAACTCACCTGCACAAACCGCATAAATGTACTTCCACGACTTTTGTAAAAGAAATCTGTTAAGCTTAAGAAACAAATACTATATATGAATGAACGACATACCGTAATCAGTTTGAGCTTTGCTGCGTCACATACTTCATTCGATGGGTTTGTTTCCTGAAATGTGATGTTTAGGAACTTTGTGAGGTCTTCTTATAAACAAACAAAATACAAACCTGCAAAAAAAGAAACAAACACAAAGAAAGGAGGCAAACTTTTTTTTTTGTGTGGGTAACATAGGCTTAAACATTCAGTTTTTAAATAAAAAGGTGGAAGTAGCCAGTTAGCTCTAGCTTATTATTATTTTAGTAATTACTTTACTATTGTAAAATACCGGGGGGTGCCCACCCCTCTTTCATTCAAAACTGGGTTAATCTAGACATGGGTACATTTCCGGTCCAATCGGGTGCTTAACGTATGATTTGCAGAGTTCCCAAGTTAGGGAAATGTTAACAGCGGGTGCTTGAACAGAGTGGGTGCTTCCGTGGTATTTTACGGTAGAATTGTATTTCTGAAGCCAGATTTCATTGTTTTAAACTGCCAGTGACTTCCATGAACCTAATGAAATATACAAAGCTATTGTAATTTTCAAATGCAAATTGTTCACCATTGTTGAGTAACCTCTAAAGAGTAAAACATTTTAGTATTAAGTCTTCTTTGATTGGCTCTTCAAAGATAAAGAGTAGCGTTAAACATTGTTCAAAGTTACCTGACCGTTTCCAGCGCACTAATTATATTGCAATACAAAGAAGTGTGAACAGTAAAATCTCTGGAGATACATAAATTGTGAGTTAATTTTTTTTTCAAATTTCGTGTCGTCTGGAAAATTCATGGAAGTTTGACTGTATCGAAAATAAAATAATTAGCAGTAGCACCGCCATGAAAGTTGTCTCTAAGCTTGTGAGAGACGAATTGCTACTACAACCACTGCAAGAAATGTCTGAAAACCTTTTTCTACTACAAGAAATCTTACAGAATACAGAAATAAGAAACTGGGCATACAAACACGAGTCACGCACAAACAAAAATGTGTTAAGCATGCAATCATCCAATTTGGCCACCATTTACCGTACTTATGATACTGCAGTTCCGCTCCTAAAATAAAACCCATTCCTCACAGGCTGGGCTTTCTATCTGGCTGTGGGGTCCACCGTGGTCACGTTCGTCTGCTCTGTGCTCTCCGTCCAAGCCGAGGTCTCTACCTCCAGTGACAAAGTGCAAGACGAGATCCTCGAAGGAAAGAACATCATCTGCCTGCTCTAGTGTGTGTGACAAGAGCCACTAGCGTTCCTACATGCTGATTCCAAAGTTGGGCTATGGGACCTCTCAGTGCAACAATGATCTGATCATAGACATTACTACTATTTCTGCGTTGTCTTCGATGCTAGTTTGCCAAGAAAACGATTTGGAACTTCATTTTTTAAAATCAAAACTTTCGAAGTAATATACTTGACTCAATGTACAGCTAGATCTGTAAAAAGGTAGACGTGACAGCCACGTGTGGGGTGCCACTGTTTGCTTCTTCTTGTTAGATACTTAACCATTTGAATTGGAGTAATTTACCAGTCTCTCTTTCCTGGCTGCAACTGTACATTCAAATGTAACGGGGGATAGTGCCAACAGTATACTCTGTCTCACTAGATGTGTGCAGTGCTGCAGAAGCCACGGGCAGGAGAGGGGAAAGCCACTTTTGTATGAATTTTGGGTTACAGACTTAATTCCCATGAGGGAGAAAAGCGACATGGGAGTACACAAGAGAGGGCCCAGGTAAGAGGGGAGTTCCTCTTTCATCTCTAACTGCTAACGTCATTTTTTCACCCATGTACTTTTGGTAACACTGCACGCGACTTGTGAGATAAAGCAGTTTTGTGGCACTGGTGCCAGTTTGTAGTATTGACAAGTGAAATGTGGCTTGGTATTCGGACAGGTTTGAAACGAACCTAAAGACATGTGTATATGTCATTTATCATCTCCAACTGGTACCATAGTTTCAGGTGAATGGCAAATATCATGTCTGAATTGTTCACGAGTGTGCATTTTTCAGTGTTCACATATATTTTCCCTTCAAACGAAATACCTACCGAGGCTAGAATAGGCGGTGCCTCTTCTTACCTTCATGGCACCAAGAGACAGAATTTTGGAGTGAAAGACCAGCCCTGCAAGAAGAATGACAAAGATTGCTGAAGAATGTTCACATTTATCGGTCAACCTATACATAAAGTGCAATGAGGACTATCCTTGCTGTACATTAAAATGTGCCTTGTTCCTATGTAGCTTTCATTTCATTGAGAAAACAGAGAGTGTTATGACACTTATCAATTTAGAAGATACCATACTCTTGATGAGTGCCGGGGCACCAAAAGTGTTCAGGAGATGGGGGGGGGGTGGGGGACGGACGGACGAGACAGGGAGGGGATTTCTTTCCCCTCCCCCACATTGTTTAATATAAAAATCTGAAATGTGGGGTTAGGGCGACTGCCTCCCTGTTTCGATGCCACTGCATACCTGTCACAGCTACACGAACAAAGCAACATTATTTTCTTGCTTCGTCGATTGTCCTTGCTTACGATGTGTCTCGATGAAAGACATAATATTTTACCATTTCTAGCTCTTGCTGCAATGAATGGAAGGCTTTTATGGGCATATGAAGCTAGTGCCAGTGCAGCTAGAAAGTAATTACTTTTTTAATCGGATGTCAAGGCAAAAATACCAGTCATTGTTTAGATCTGTTACCTGTGTTTTAGGGAATCGTTTGGTTTCATTCACTTTTGTGTGCCTTTTGGCTCAGTCATTTGTCTCATGATTAGTCATGTCCTTGAAAGTGTTGGCATGGTTTGCAGGGCGAACCGTTGGCCATTTAATCTATCTTCGCACAAGAGATTGCGTGATGTGTGCAGATATTTTTTGTATTGTGTAGCTTGTTGATATGTACCGTTGACTGAAAGCTATTCATCAGTTTATATGGGAAATGTTAAATGCCTTGACATTTGGTCCTGTTGCTAGTACAATACAGTGTGCGTGGTATTCATGACTATCCAGCTTTCAGTGCTTTTAATCTTTAGAGAGTCTAAACTGTCACTAGTTTAACCACACACTGATGAACCTTTGTGGTTGTTTATCTTTTAGCAATCGTCTTCCATACATACACACTTTCTTTGATCATGTATATCTTTGACCTTTGTGTGAAATGTCTTCATTATACTCATTGAACGTATAAAACTGTTTGAAACTGGTTTTATGGCATAGCAAGTTTATTTAACTTAGAAGACATGCTGGTCTCTACAGCATAGTATGGTACACTAACGCTTTTGTCTCACAATTTTGCTTAAAGCACTAGTAATAACTGAATGTGATTCTGAAATGCTACATGAAGGATTTGAAAGTAAATCTAACCATGAAACAAAACTCATATGCAGAACTGTCTTTTCTGAAACTAGAAGCATATTTTCTATTCGAAGGACTTTCTGTTTAATTGATATGCAACAGCTAGTGCATAACTATTTTCACTTCAAAGTATTCAATGCATTTTTGTGGTTTCATAAAAGGAAAAACAAAAAACAAAAAAAAACACTGACAACATTTTGGTCGTCATATTTTGATATCTACTCCTGATTTTATACACTTCCAACTTTGTTAATGGAAGGTAGTTTTAACCTATGGTTTAAGTTATATAGTCGCACATTTAGGATATTAGAGAATGTGACAAAAATACTCAGCATATGAGGCTATGTGTGTTTCCTGAACGCATCATGCTTTGCATTCATAACAAATTTAATATAGTTGATTTTGATTATACATGGTTCACAACCATTGATGTTTCGTGGACCCCTTGTTGATCGGCGGAAATGATGGAGGAGCCCGTTCGCGGTGAGGGAGAGGAAAAGTTATAGGTTAATTAGGATAATGATTTAAGAAATGGATATAACTAAGAGCTAGTGTAAAGTCTCTCATGAAGATGAGAGAAAAAAATGCGACAAGACAGCCTCGCGGACAGTCGAGTGGGGAATGTGTTCCGGTTTAGCACAAAGTAAGACTGTAGATACAAATTTTCTGCCCATGAAACTTGTTTTGTTTTTTTTTCTGTTCAAAAACAGCTCTAATTTGGGGCTTTTCGGTTTTTCTAGATTTCTGTAAATCCATCTCAAAGGTTAATTTCTGGGGTTTATCGGTAGTATTTACTGAAAACATGGAAGCCTAATTGTAACTCTGGTTATTGCTATGTGTTGTTGAAATGCTACCACCATACTACGTAGTAATGTGACAGACAGATAGCTTCCTCCTCTGTTCTCCCTCAGGGAGGGCAAACTGCTTGAAGAAGGGGGTGGGCTAAATTTTGGTATGTAACTCTAGATGCTATAAAAATGCTTGACTTGGGTACTTGCCCGCCCATGTCACCGCTGTCATTATTAGTGTCATTAACGTAGTGTCCCGTCACATTTGCAGTTTCTTTTCATGGTTTGATGTGGCAATCGACTGTGAGGATAAGGTCAATCCCAAGTATCGTTTACCGTATTTACTCGAGCGATAGCCGCACTGTTTATGAAGAAAACCTGCGGGTTCGCTTTTCCGCGGCGCATGCGGCTTGCCAATCACCGCTATCGGCAGCATGATTCCAGCGGTTTACAAGACAGAGATAACGTCTTCGCGTGAAGATACCATCTGTGAAGATTGCAATTGTATGCAAGCTCGTGTTTTCGATCTAGTAGTTATTTGCTACGTTATTTATGCGCAACGTGATGATTGGCTGTATATGTGCTTTGCGGGAAAGTAAATGCAAGGGCTTTGTTCATAAATAGTGCGGCCATTACTCAAGTAAATATGGTATATATTGTTTTGCCGCCAAACCTGAGCGAAGTTAACGATAGACATGCATCGTAAAGTTTTCGTTAAAAAATTAGCAATATTATGACTCCAAACCAATTCATGCTTCTTAAGGTGGCTCACTACCACTGTTTCATTGGTTGTGTGCTATAACAAACACATTTGTATGAGGAAATAGGCGAAAATGACATAAAACACAAACACAGCCGCAAGCTATGCTGAAAACGAAAACAGCCAAATTGAAGCCATCCAATGGCAGCGAGTGTGCCAGCACCCTGTATCCGCCAGTCGGGTAACTACTTAGATGAAAAGTTCTATGGCTCTCAAATTCTCTACCTCACCTTTTCTGCTGGAGTTGCAAATTTGAGAAAAGAAGGCACCAACAAAACGTTTCGTGGTTCCTACCATTTTTTTTTTTTGTCCTTATGGTGCGGAGGCGTGGAGCCTCCACACTGTGTCACAGTTGCCCGGGGCGTCACAAGGCAGCGTAAGCCAACACCAGATTCATTTGGTTAAAAGGGAAGACCCCCAGCAGCCGCCGCAAGCCCGCCCTCTGCATTTTCATTTTTAAAGCGATAGCCTTCTAGGGCCCATTCACACACTTGCAACTGACTATGACCGACTGAGACAAGACCGGTTTTTAAGCCTCTTGCGACGGCTTACAACCGGATGCGCTGCAGAGGTCGTAAGCCGTCACAAGAAGCTTAAAAACTGGTCTTGTCTCTGTCGGTCGTAGTCAAACGCAAGTGTGTGAGCGAGCCCAGGTGACGCTTTGCAAAGATTTCGAGCTCATGGACTGCCGCGATGAAAAAACCCTTCTCTCCCCTCTTGGCATGAGGAGAGGTAAGTGGGTTTTCCCATCGGTCGCACAACGTGAAGAGAGACGAGAGGGAAGCCCCGGCATCCTGCCAGTAATGACGCGATAAAGGGAGAGTCTTTCTGTCGTCTGCTTTAAGCAAACAGTTGTTTCCAAACATTTCTCGCGTTATGCGAAAGCCCACTTTAGCATTATCAGGTTGCTATATGTGTACAGTTGAACGGTTTAAAAACTTCCGCCACGCTTACCGACTTACTTCACGATCACCAGGCACTTGTGGCAGTTGTCAGTGGCATCCACAATGCCAATTACGACGGTTACGAGAATTAACCACATGGCACTTCCATTCCCAGGTACGCGACGGCACCATTCCACCCGCATTGCGCCACCATGCTACAGCTATTGCTTTCATTTTTTCGCGCATTGACGGCGAAAAGTACGACTTTTTTTTCGCAATGGTCAAGGTATTTCATGGATATATCTAGGGTAAATTTGGAAAAGTCAGAGTATTTCAGAGAATCAATTTGGTAGACGCTCTGAATTCAGATGGCGAGTATGAAGTGAGACGACATGGAAGTGAAACTACAGCCGGCCTCAGCCACTCAAGCTCATCGACAGTAAGCTCGTTCCATTTACCTGCACCGGTGGAGAACTTCCACTACAGGCTGCACTTGAAAATTGAATATGACGGTATGCAGAGTTTAGCATGCAGGAGGTCTATGGAAGTTCGAGCCTAGTGAAGCACTAGTGATGCAGCATTTCACATTGTGTTTTGTCTGCTTCCTGCTGCTACTAATATAAGAGGCTGAAGAGATTTGTTGGGGTATTTGCGCAGAGGGGAACCAATCTGTTTTGATAGTGTGTAGTCTTATTTCCAATGCAGGTGTGAAATTCAACCACCACGATATGAATGCTAACCTTGGGTCTTTATATGCGGCACGAAGCAGCAGTTCCAATAATTGAACTGTTTATTATGTCGATTAATGATGTTAGAGCCCTTTTATGACAATTCAAACTTTCTTCATTGGATAAATATGGATACTTAGGAATCTCTTGAGGTTGAGTGGGGAGCTTGGGGTAAGTGGCAGTCACGATCAAGCAGCATTATATTACAATCTTTCATTATTACACCAGCAAACATTGCCCTCTATACAAAAGATCAAGCATTGATCCAACTACAAAAAAAAAAAGAAAAAATCCTGAAAAGCTTAACAAATTAGCAATTTTGAGGAACACCGCCAAAATAAAATACAGTAGCCTTGATATTGTGACCAACATTTTATTGCAATTCACCGAGGCGTCGGGAATGGACACTATTAGCACCTCTGAGGCCTCGCGATTCGAAAGCCTCCCTGGATGCCAAAGGGACACTCCACCTTGAACGGGTGCAAGCTGCCTTCCTTGGGGGACAGGAAAACCCCTTTCCTACCTTTCCCAAGGAAGATTTCTTTACAACGACTGAAATGCACAAACATGCACATTGAAAACAAAAAAAAAAACACTTTGTGGAGACTTTGATGCACCAGCTCTAGATGACTCTTCGTTGCTAACTGTGCTGTGGTGCCAATCTGCTATGGCAGATCCCCCTCACAAACTGGAACTCAGATGTACGGAGCGTCGAACGGCACAAGCACATTCTTGCAAGATGGCAAAGGAAATGCAAATAATACCCTTGACAAGAAGGCCGGTGTCAGAACGAAACAGCTGTTGACATGCTATCTGCCTGTTGCAGCACACAACTGTGTACAGAGCGTAAGAAATTATATCCAAAGGAAAAATACACCACCTCTTCTGCCTTCGGCACTGTCTGCACAAACTATGTGGGTGCAACGCTGGCATAGAAACCTTAGCCGCACTGTCCAAGTAAATTAGCCCGCCAGTTACACTAGAAAGAATCGTGCCACAGGGGAAGTGCACATAATAGTGCACTTCCCAGTGATGAAAAAAAAGTATGCTGAAATGGGAAGTGGTACGTGCCACTAGATATCCGACACCGAGATTCATAGAACCTGCACTCCACTGCAATCACTAACACTCAAATGGTCCGTCAAGTTTCTAGCAACATTTAGAGGATTCCAAAGATCTGCAGGCATCGTCAGCCATCGACTGAGAGCTGACGAGCATCCCAAATTTGCAACCCTTATGACAAATATGGCAATTGAAGGAACATGCAACTGCTGGTGCAATGAATCATTGGCAATACTGTATGTGCAAGAAAATAACTGTGCAAGAGGCATCCAGGTGTAGCAATTAATGCGGTAGTATTGCAGCAACAGCAGCTTCAGCACACTGTATTGCTTCAAGGATAGCGGCACTTGGCTTGGAAGTGCGGGAAACACTCCAGTGGACACGAAGAATGGACGATGCAAAGCAAGTGGGGTTAGATCTTTGTTCATGAGGCTGTTCCCAGAAAGTCTGCAAAAGACTTGTCACGACACCAGTAATTTAGAATGCAAAAATTCGCCGTCCTCTTATGTGAACCAGGAGAAAGAGATAGCCCCTGCTATGAAGCCAAGCACAAATACTAGTATACTGATTGGTAGTGCCTAGCTAGCTGGTCTTCCGTTAGATTTGGCGGCTATATTTCCTGACTCTGCGGAGTGATCCTTAATTCATCCTGCACCAGACAACAACGCACACCGAAGAGCAACAGTTTCAGCACTACAAGGTGCCACAGACGAATATGCAGCAGAAAATTACTATGGGGGCTCCTGCCATGCCGGACATAACACGTGTAAAACGAGCGAGGGTAGGAGGATGGATACAACGATCACTTCATCGGTTCTCTTTGGTAACACAGAAAATGCAGGGAAAAAAACAAGCCCTGCACCAGGTGTCGGCCCACATCGGCCCTCTTATGGCGTTGCTGTATCTACCCAACAAGTGTGGGTGTGCTCGGCACACTGTGCTACATTGTCAGAACAAGCATTAAAACACGACGCCTGACCCATGTTACGGAACAAAGTAAATGAAGGCAAGCGTAGAACATACAAACTCCCCAGACAATGGCATTTTCCAGGAGTGGATGCACAAACATGACCTGGCAACAAAGACATGCACATACGGAAGAAAACAATTGTGCTTGGCGAACACAAAGGAATTCTCATATCAAACCTAAATCAACGAAGCAGTGTGTGGCTACCATATGCACCTATCACTGACGAACGGTGCGAACTGTGTGCAAAAGATAAACATTGTACACCAATTTTTTTGTTTGTTTTTTTGACTAGCACAGGTACACTATGGTGGAGAGTTCTCTTCAGAAGAGGCTCCATCACAATTCTGCGAAAAAAAGAGCAAACATGAAAATATACAGAGAAAAAAATAAAAAACTCGTCACGAGCGATCCTACGCACAGTTGCGACAGCTGAAAACTCTCTTCTGTAGGTGATCGCACATCGCACCTTGTGCTTCGGCGACAGTGCGGTTCAATTGCAGCGAGCAACAGCAAGCAACCGGTACCAGTTAAGTCAGTTCCTCCAAACTGTGAAGAAGGCCGAGCTAAGTTCCCATGACTAGAAAGTTTCCACAAGGTCTGTCGCCAAGACATCAGGTGTGCTGTTGTTCGGGACAACAGTAAGAGCTGGGAGCCATCACCAAAATAGCAGACTCGTCGACAAAATACGAGGCAACACGCAAGCGCCTGCTGCGCCAAGGGAAACCAAGCCAGATAGACAACGCTTTCTGCATCGTCTTAATGCTCACCTTAAGTATGTAGAAAAGCACTTCAGAGTTGCTAGCTTATCTCAACTCAAGTCGTGACTATGAGGTGCAATCAAAAATTTCAAGGACTAGCTTTGTAGCATAAGAATAGAGGGCAGCACAGTGATGTGCGTGCAGCTGTCAAAGGCAGGGACCTTCGTGTGTCATCATGCTAAAGGGCACCATTCTGTGAACATTTGGAGCTGCATTACGAGAGTTTTTGTAACCATGTGCACATTGGCGATTTGGGTATAAGCTTCAAACCAGAGCGATTCTTGAAGCACGAGTGCCACTCGGAACACTTTGCACGATTCACTGCTTTTTCACCACAAGCCTGCCGATTCATTTTAAAGACCTCGGCTCCCGATTTGCCGAGTTGGATACAGAATTAATGCTCACTTTCAGCTCTGGTTTGCAGCCCATGCTGAAGTCGCCAATGTCCTTGTGGCCATAAAAACGCAATTAGCGCAATTCCAAATGCTCACAGAATGATGCCCTTTAGCACAATGACTCATGAAGATTCCTGTTTGACAACTGTGCATGCATCATTCTGCTACTCTTTTGTTTTACAATATAAAACTTGTCCCTGACAACTTGACTGCACCTCGTATTTTAGAAACACGAAAAAAAAAAAATGAAGCTGATTTGAGAAATCGCAAGGATTTAGAAAAGCCTTGGGATCTAATAAGCTTGTCTAGCACAGCTTTTATAGCACCTGCGTGGAAGCTAGGACGGGACTTGTGTACCCAAGATTGCTGGCAAGATTTCCTAGTAGCACTCTAGCTACAGGCTGTTCTAGCCTATATGACTCAGAATTCACCTAGATCTCTGAAGCTTCTCCGCTTATCAGCAGTTTTTGTTTGCCACCATTTTTGCTGGATTGGAAAATTGGTTTTGCAGTCCTGCAAAAATCTAGTTATGCTTTCAAATGGTGAGGCTGAATAAAATAATCTATGAGAGAAAGAATACAGAGCCCAAAAATGAACGTTAATTTGCATGGAATTTCACTTGGTTCCAGGATACCAAGATATCCTCTGGATGACTGGTGTAAGAAGAACTTGAGCAAAATCTAGAAAAAGGCCAGTTGGCATTGATCACCAGACTTTTCATAATCGTTGACATTATAAAAGCCTGGAAAACAGGGCATACTTCATGACAGCAACAAACTATTAAAACACCTATGTGGGCTAGAAATGCTCGAAATCTTAAACAAGTCAACAGAGCCGCAACAGGCTATTTAAGAAAGCTTGCTGAATCGCAACTCTGACTTACCCTACGGACAAACTAGATGACAAGGGAAAAAAACGGGGACATATTAATAGAGCATCCAGATCTTGACGCTTCAGTTGGATAAAGATATTTAACAACGCCCAAATGTAGTTGGATGCTCGCTAAATACACAAGAAACCTCTTCTTTATAATAGAGCATGTGCAACAGCAAAATGAAGTAAAGCAACCTTGGAAACAGAATTATCCTTCAAGTAATACCAGGGTGAAATGTAGCACACCAACATTTGGGAGAAAGGGAGTTCAATCCCAAAGCAATTCAAAACCACCGTGTAAAAGGAAGGTAGAAACACGGGTGAAAAACATTAAGAATTTAGAATGCTTAGCTTAAAGAGGCTGCACCATGAGATGCATCTAGTATATAACAAATACAGGCAAAACCAGACCGTGAGTGCTGCACTGGTATTTATGTCAGTGTAAAAGAAACATAACCCGGATCAAAACATGTCCTAGCGAGTATTGCTCCAACTTTCACAATAAACTATGTAACTTATTTTCTATTGAAATCACACAGTAAGACAAGGTGTTTCTAACCAAACCAACAGGATTGTTTTACACGAAGAAAACAACACATCAACATTGTCAGTTTCACGGGCGAAATACCCAAGACTTCATAAACAGTATACAGCCTAATTGATGCTGCTTGGTCAAACAGAGGCATAAACTAAGTCAGTCTGCACTTACTAATTGAGCAATAGCAGCCAAGACAAGAGGCAAAAAAAAGCAGATTGACAAGCTGTAGACACCTCTTTTATGGGAAACTTTTATAGATGTGTGAGAGGACATCTGAAAGATTCTGTGCCACGTAGTCCACCACAGTTCAGTCTTGAACCATGCTCGGCATCCTTATATACTCCTTGTCTGCTCAACACACAAACAAAAATAAGAACAACAACTCCTAGAGAAAATTACGAGACAACTGGACGACACAACAAAGTTCAGGGGAGCTCCACTCATTTGACCGGTAAAGTAATGACTGCCAAGCCTAGTGCAACAAGGAAACAACAGACTGGGGACAACGACTTTGGCATTGCTTCATCCGAATGATAAGGGACAGGGTTTGGGTTCAACATTCCATCGTTTCCCAGTCAAACAAAGAAATACGGTTTAGTCAGGTAGCCTCTTGCTTATGTACGGATACTGGCAAGTTTAAGCGGAATTGTTGCCGGGTGACAAAGCAATCTCCCCGCAAGTTCCCGCCCGCAAGACACAACTAGCTAATGCCGACGTCGAGCCGCCACATCGTAAACCGACCAGTCTCGTCCGAGAAGCAATATTGTTCACCATCAGTACCTTGAGCGAAACTGCTTGAAAGCCACAGTAGGGTTCCTGAGCCATGTGCCGATTTTGACTTGGCACACACAACATAGGAGGCAATCCCCAATCTTACTTAATGAGCCCCCACCCCGCAACAAAATGCATGCTCTAGACAGATGTACATGTACCGCACTCCGCCTCACAGTCCAACAATCACTCTGGGTGCAGAGCCAATAACAATGCCCGCCACGCCATGCCGCATGCATCGGTCCACATTCACTTCAAGGTGCAACGCTTGACACTGGTTAGGCAATGTTCGAAGCCGCAGACGTCGAGCCCACGCTGAAACAATTGGAGAGTGTCCGTAGGCTATGGGATATGACATCTTTGATCGAGAGCAAATCACGACGGCCGCCGGGGCGCCGCGGGGCGGCACGGCCACACGGGAACTCAGCCTTCGGCACTGACCGAAGAGAAGGAAGACGCCACGCTGGGGCGTATCACCAAGGGACTGAGCAGGTGCTGCTGCAGCGTGGGCGAGACAACCGGCAGGGGTGCAGGGTGTAGCCGAGGCACCCCCTGGTGGTGGCCCTGGCCGGAGCCGAGGCCAGACACAAGGTCCGAACACTTGACCAGGGCCTCTGCGCCGTGCTGCGTCAGGGTGTGCGTCCTCAGACCCTGAGGAGTCTTGTAGCTCTTGCCACAGTGGCAGCGGTGGGCCTTCTTCACTCTGGGGGCGAAGCGATTAAAGGGCACGTTTGCAAATGCGAGCGACCCAAGAGTGAGCACAGGTGTGAGCAGCGGCTGAGGGCTTCAAATCGAACGCTAGAAGAATCCCTCTGCACCATGTATGTGCTGGGCCTAGTGTTCTCCCGAACGATTCGTCGGTGCCATTGTGATTTTAAGACCTTTGGAATTGTTCTAGAACCTTGCCAGTGCTTTGTCGTGGCTGGTTTGTATGGAATCCAGAATTAGAATATAAAGTCAGGGGATCAAGCGTATGGTATGCAAGTTGTTTGCTTTACACCATGAATACTGCACACAAGCTGAGCCACAACAGACAAAAGGCATGACACTACCCTTAAAGGGACACTGACATTTAGACTCGCCAAGGTTTTTATTTGTATGATGTAAGAGCCCAACTACCCAGAAAAAAATTTGCGGCTCAGAAATTGTTTTTTTTCCTCCCCAAAACCACCAATCAAAAACTGGCCAGATTGAGTCTCACTACCTCTCTTCTCCGTGGTTACACGCCGTCTTCTATGGTTTAAACACAGCCACCAAAGATAATAAGGGTTATGGGTCATTGAAGGCACACACTCAATATTAAAAATAGGAAACAAATATGATACCCATTTTTTGAGGCTTCTAAACACTGCAAATACATAGATTGTAAAGAAAAAAAAAAATTGCACAACCACGTGAATTTTGGGCAACGCTCTCCATCTCTGTATTTCTTCTTACTCCCCAGACCTGTTTTGGTTTCGAGCAGTTGCGTTTTTTTACTTTATTAAAATATATGTGATGCTGTAGCGAAATATTTAATGGGTAGTCTCCTGACACCATAATAAATCTCCTAACCAAAAATTAAAAAAAAAATTTTGGGGGGTGTTGGTGTTTTTTTTTAAGGATAGTCTAATGATCTGAATGTTTACTAACAGCAGTGTTTAAAAAATACAGAAGGTTCATTAGCACAAGAACTGTTTCTAAAAGAATGCATTAGGTAAATGGTCAAAGGAGCAATCATATATTGTCTATCTTGTGCCCAGAAAAATGTGCACTCACTTGGCTTCTTTCTTGTGCCCGTTTTTGGCATGGTACTTAATGCCGTTAACGTTTTTGTAACGCTTCTTGCAGCCTGGCACTGGACATGCGAAGGGCTTGTCATCTGTTGAGCCAGCACTGCTCATCATCCTGGAGAAAGTGCAGAGCAGAAAGGCCTCAGTATCTTAATTGTCCTCGTCAGTCACACTAAGGTCCTACAGCAGCTGAAGATATTTCAAAAGGGATTTTGATCCAAACTACATCAACAGCCATTCTTTGTGTTCTTGAGAACAGCCCCCATTTAAAAAAAGCCACCTCCTTCGGGTAAGTTTTAGCACATTTGAAATATTTATTTATTTAAACAACTTGAACACAGTGATGTACCAGGTGTTATATAGCGAGACTCAGGTTAAGAATTAAAAGAACTATGACATGACGGCAAAATCAGCACAGAAGACAAGCTGTTTGTTTGACATATAGGCTTTCAACTGCGATTCCTCATGACGAATTGTTACCCTGTGTCGATGACACCACTGACAAGCATGGCATTGCTGCGTTCCAAAATAAGGCAGGACTTAGTGCAAATGGCTTTCTGGAAGTTCTTTCCTTTTATTTAAAATCAACATTTGCTACTTGGGAGGAAGGCACTTTATTTCAAAAGATGGGGGTTTGTATAGGGTCCTGTATAGCACTCGTACTGAGAGACAGTTTTCTAGCGGTGTAGAATAGAGCTCTATATAGCAGACCTGAGAGTTCGAAAGTTGACAAGATTTTCAGGCTCGTACATAGTTTACTCCTTTCGGACTGCAGATCAGACAATCTTGAAGGCGATGTGTCCGAGATCCTCTCTATGTTTAGTGAGTGCCCAAAAACCCCTCGTTTTAACAAACAAAGTACCAATTCAAGACAAGGTACCAGCAGGCTTTTAGATCTTAAGACTCAGTTTTCAACACGAGCATGTTTGTTGGGTTTAAGAACCTAGAAGTAACAAACTACTACATACTGCAGTTTTCCTCTGCTCATTTTAAGCCTGTGAAGAGGGGTATCATTAACCTTTGCTTCAAAAGCGCACTGGAAAATTCGTACGTCAATGGGATTAAGGCAAGATTTAGCAATCGGGCCTCAAGGCTCGGGACAGCAGGTTATCCGGTCAGCGTTCTATCAGCGCTGGTTCAAACCTTACTTAAGAAAAAGAAAAGTTGTGAGGGAAAAGTAGTGAGGGGCAGTGGAAGGTAACGAAAAGTCGTTGTAATACCCTACCCTCACGAGATTTCCCGTAATCTGAAGAGAGTGGGCCATGGTGTTGATGCGGTGTTTTTAGCCCCAGAGAGGTTGGCTGGCATGCGTAAAAGGGCAAATTAAGATTCTAGAGGGAAACAAAAATGTATCAAAAAGCGTCAAAACCACTTTGTCGAATGCGTAGAAAGGGATGTGTATTCTATTCCTTTATCATGTGGACAACAATATGCAGGGAAGACAGGATGTTGTCAAAATGATCGATTATGGGAGCAATGGTACAATGTAGATACAGTGGTGATGGGGCATCTTGGCATACACTGTCGTGACTATATGGATGCAAACCTACTATTGAGTGTTGTGCAGTGCTTAGCAATAATAAAGGCAGAATCACTTCAAGGATCTTGGCTCGTGAACTTGGAAGATTAGAGCCACAGTGTGTCAGCGCACCCTCATTGTTGTATAAGGAACTGCATTTTCTTGAACAAATGGGAGGAGCGAGTGACAGAGCTGTAGGTGACATGTAAGCCGTACACGGATTTTAGCCTTTTAGTTTTTGCGTTTTCTTCTCTGGCTTGTTTTGTTGGCATCAGTAGTATTCGTACTGAATGCCAACACTAAAAAAGCTCGAGGTACACCTAAGCACTTGTGAGTTGTGAATGCGAAAGCATGCAAGTCGCTCGTCCCCTCCCTTTTTCATCTGCTGCATACTTTTAGTGCTCGGTCAGCACGCGTGCTCCCCTGGGGACCGTTTTTATGGCTCCTGATGTGCTAAACTTTGGGCAAAGGTAGGCAAATGTAGAACGATGGATTGTGCTGTGTATTTGTCCACCCTAACTAGATGGCGCCACCAAACCGCCCTGTAACGACTGCGCCGAGGAAGGCTAAGAAACTCTCATCATAGGGCCGACTCTGGAACCGCGAGGATGAAAGGTTGCTGCCATTCCAGCCACTTGTTATTAGTTCATAAAGTATTATGTGAAAACCCAAACACAAAGTCTATAACAACTGGCGACGAGAAACTGATCGACAACAAGCCGCAGAAGCCGCCAAGCAACAGCACCACGGGATGGCCCGCTAGGAATTCTACGGATCTACGCTGCGTGCAAACTTCCCGCCTGTGAATTTCGAAACTATAAATACGACAACAAGAAGCCCTGGTTATCCTACCCGAAAAGGGTTGTTGCGACGAGAAGAAAATGATCTTCCTATCAACCATGGAGACCAGCACTTACGCAACACTCCAGTCTGCTAGCACCTGCAAAGCCAAAAGAGAAGTACAAGAAGCCCCCCCTCATGGCTACCTTGAACAGTCACTTGAGCACTCAACACACAAGTATAGCTCGAGAACGAGCCTTGCTATGTTCGTTGCCAAACTTCGGCAGATGGCAGAACACTGCAACTTCGGAGCCGCTCTCAACCGCATGCTGAGGGACCGTCTTGTCTTGCATGCAGCGGGACAAGATTGTGCAGCAAAGACTGTTTGTGGAGAAAAACCTAACCCTAGAAAAGGCTGTCGAAATCTCGAGGTTGGCGGAACGCAATGCGACCGAAATGCAAAGGGGCCATGTGGAGCACCCACTTTGGGAAACCAAAAAGGTACCACCAATCATCTTAAGTTCCACAGGAAGAAAAATAGTCAACAGGGACTTAAAGGCCAAAGATTGAAGGATCCAAAGGCCACAGCTAAAAGGAAGCCAGGACCACAAGACAAAGCAAGTGCCTGCATTCATTGTGGTTCCTGGGATCACAAGCCCCTGGACTGCCCGCACATGAACACAAAGTGCTACAAGCGCGAAAAAGTTGGGTACCTGGCAAGTTGCGGTTTGCCAAAGACTGATAAGCCAAAGAAGCAGTCCACAAAACAAGTGAACGCACTGGAACCAGTTGGTGGACCGTCCGAGTGCTACTTGCATGCATTGCAAGCAAAGTCAACTTTAAAACCGATCACGGTAACATTCATGGTCAATAGACTCCCACTTGAGATAAGGCTAGATTCAGGATCCCCTGTCTCGCTGATCTCTGAGGATACATACCTGAGCCATCAGAGAACTCTGCCTAAACCAGCTGAAACAGAAATCAAGCTCAAATGCATCCGTGGAACCATTTGTGTGCAAGGAACTTTGACAGTGGACGCAAGTCTTGGTGAGACCAAAAGCCAGTCACTTTTGGTTGTTGCTTGCAAGAGCCCTAACCTTTGTGGCAGGGACTGGATATCAGCATTTGACCTGCTTCCACAGCAAGTAAACTCCACTCAACTGGGAGAAACTGCAACCGAACGAAGGGTACTGGAAATACTCCAGGAAGTTGAAGAGGTCTTCAAACCAGATTGCGGTGCATTCAAAAGACCACTGGTGCATGTGGATATTCGAACCGACGCCCAACCACTGTACCACAGTACCATATGCACTAAGAGACAAAGTAGAACTAGAACTCCAACAAGTTGAAGAAGGCATCATCACAGCCATAGACCATCCTAACTGGGCATCCCCCATCGTAACAGTGCTGAAAGCCGATGGCAAGAGTGTCAGGATTTGCGGAGACTACAAGTTAGGCGTGAATCCTGCAGTGATGACAACCCAGTACCCACTGCCCAAAGTGGAAGACATCTTTTCTTCTCTGCAAGTAGGAGTCAAGTTTCCCAAACTAGACTTCCGTGAAGCATATAACCAAATACTCGTTGGTAAAGGAATTAGCAAGCTCCTGGTCATCAACACACACCTAGGACTCTTTGCTTACAACCATTTAGCATTCGACATGTCCTCGGCTTTGGCATTGTTGCAAAGAAAACTAAAAGAGACCGTGCATAGAATCCAAGGAACATCTGTCTACCTGGATGATGTTCTGGTGACTTGAAAGACCGACACAGAACATCTAGAGAACCTGAGGAAAGTTCTCCAAAAAGTCAAAGACTCTGGACTGAAACTCCAGCGAGAGAAATGTGAGTTCTTTAAAGAATCACTCTGCTACCTGGGCCATGAGATCAACGCAGAAGGACTGAAGCCTTCAAAGAAAATGCAGAAGTCATAAATGAAGCACCTGAACCCAGGGATGTCAGTGAACTGAGATCCTTTATTGGGCTTCTTTCATACTACGGCAAGTTCTTTCCGAATCTGTCCACAGTGCTTGCACCCTTGTATATCCTGCTGCACAAGAACACCCGCTGGCAATGGACAGACAATGAACGGAAAGCCTTCGTCGAAAGCAAGAATGCCATCATGGAGGTAAGGGTCCTGACCCACTACGACCCATCAAAGGGGCTTGTTCTGGCATGTGATGCGTCACTGTATGGTGTGGGTGCTGTGCTCCTGCATCGAGAGGATGGCGTGGAGTCGCCACTCGCATTCTCATCCCGAACTCTGACAGTTGTAAAAGGAAGCATTAGCCATAATTTTTGGTGTCACACGGTTCAGAGACTGTCTGCTGTGTCAAAGTTTTGTGCTCATCACTGACCACAAGCCACTTGGGGAGATTTTTCGGTAAGACAAGGCAATTCCAGCCTTGACAGCTTCACCATCCAACACTGAGCTCTTAGTCTTGGAGCTTAGAGGCGCAGCATCGAGCACCGACCAGGACGTCTCCAACGGAAACGCTAATGCCATGAGCAGGCTGCCCTTGCACATACAGATCCTCCGGAACCTCTGGAACTGGTCAACTCAATCTCGAGCTTGGAAAAGCTGGCGGCTTCAGTCAAGCAACTACAACTCAAAAGCAGCGAAAAGGACTTAAGCCAAGTGCTACAGTGGGTGGAGGAAGGATGGCCACAAAAGCCTTTGGGCAAGTCACTACAACCATTTCGGAACAGATGTGATGAGCTAAGCGTGCATCAGAATCTCCTGTACTGAGGAAACTGAGTGGTTGTGCCAACCCCTGCTCGCCAACACATCTCAGATCTGCAGCATGAAACTCACCAG